GTATTTACGGGAAAATGTATAAGAAGTTGCCTAAATCTAATGAGTAGTCTTTGAAGGATTAACCTAATCTGTCAAAATAAAAAATACCATTATTCGCTCCGTGCGAAGTCATGGAAAGGGAAGCAAAAGCGATACTAGCGCTAGCTGCGGATAATTCGTGCATTTTAGGGCGATATTTTGTAATTTTGGTATATCAAATACACGTATACATTTTACTTTTTTTCAAAAAAGTAGGTGAAAACAATACAGTAAGCAACCGGAATTGCTGTGTTGAAAATTGTACAAATACTAGCAAAAAAAACAGTGAAACTTATATAAAAAATTTCAGTAGCAAAGTAGAAATTAAATCAAAGAAATAAATGGATAGGTGTACAATAAGAAGAAAAATTACCTCTATTTTTGTAATAATAACAGTAATGCTGGAAATAGTAGACATCAGAAACTTGAAAGGTTTTAAATAAACAATAAATTATCATTTTACGATGTTCTTTAATATCCATTTATTCTTAAATGTTCATTCAGCAAGGACTAGATTTCAAGATTTCTGCCTTTGATTATTATTATATGTGGCTGGAATACAATTTTGTAACTTACTGATGGGAAACCAGTTTAAATCATTCATTCTATGTTTTGTTTTCAACAAAAATGAAAATATAAATAACGATCCTTTTTTTATACATTTTAACTTCACGCTATTATTAAATGGTATTTTTTATTTTGACAGAATAATTCTTCAATGACAACTTATTAGACTTAGGCAACTTCTTATACATTTTCCAGTAAATATATTTTATTATTCATTTTTATTGATTATACATAATTTTCTTTAATTTAAGAGATAAACATATATAATAATAATAAAAAATTAATGTTTTGCTTGTTTTACAAATCCATATACTTTTATTAAAACTAACATATATACTTTTTAATTACGAATTCTATTAAAAATTGCATTTGTCAGTATCACTGATCTGACAGATCAGTGGTCAGTATACGCAGAAATAGTCCATTAATACCAAAAAGGAATTGGCGCTGCTGTCGCGCACGGAGCGAATAGCGTGAAGTTAAAGTAAAAACAGAAGGATTGTTATTTATATTTTCATTTTTGTTCAAAAGAAAATATAGAATGAATAATTAAAACTGGTTTTCTATCAGTAAGTCACAAAATTGTATTCCAGCCACACACAATAATCAGAGGTAGAAATCTTGAATTTTAGTCCTTGCTGAATGAATATATTTAAGAATAAAGGGATGTTGAAGAACATCGTAAAATGATAATTTATTGTTTATTTAAAACCTTTCAAGTTTCTGATGTCTACTATTTCCAGTATTACTGTTATTACTACAAAAATAAAGGTAATTTTTCTTGTTATTGTACACCTGTCCATTTATTTCTTTGATTCAATTTCCACTTTGCTACTAAATATTTTTATAATTTACACTGTTTTTTTTTGCTAGTATTTTTACAACTTTCAACACAGCAACTCCGGTTGCTTATTGTATGATTTTTACCTTCTTCTCTTCTCTCTCCGAAATTATGAAACTCATAATTAAATTTATGAGTCATGATTAGAAAATTCCAATATCTTTGGGAAGCACATAAGTCGTTTATAACACTATCCAAATTTTGATAGTGTGGATAGCAAGTTTGTGGTTCGAGTCCCGAAACTTTCAGTTTTTTTTTCCTAAAAAAGAGGAAAAATATTAAAGAACTTAAAAATTGGAATTGCAGCTACTCATAAATGTAAATAATGACGTATTTCAAGGTTTTTGGATTTTCGCATTTAAAGGAGGGGGCATGGGAAGTATCATAAAAACCCTACTACTACATAAATGCGAAAGTTTGGAGAAAGGGGGGAAATAGAGGAAATAGGGAAAGGGGGGAAAGTGGGAAAGTGGGAAAGTGGGAAAGTGAAAAAATAGGGAGAAAGGGGAAGAGGGATGAAAGTATCGATTTTTTAAGGGTGGGAACATGAAAGTTGGAATTTAAAGGTTTTTGGATTTTCACATTTTTGGGAGGAGGGAATAAATAAATAAAAATAAACAAATAAAAAATAAAAATTATTAAAATTAAAATTAATAAAAATTAATAAAAATTAATAAAAATTAATAAAAATTAATAAAAATTAATAAAAATTAATAAAAAATTAATAAAAATTAATAAAAATTAATAAAAATTAATAAAAATTAATAAAAATTAATAAAAATTAATAAAAATTAATAAAAATTAATAAAAATTAATAAAAATTAATAAAAATTAATAAAAATTAATAAAAATTAATAAAAATTAATAAAATTAATAAAAATTAATAAAATTAATAAAAATTAATAAAAATTAATAAAAATTAATAAAAATTAATAAAAATTAATAAAAATTAATAAAAATTAATAAAATTAATAAAAATTAATAAAAATTAATAAAAATTAATAAAAATTAATAAAAATTAATAAAAATTAATAAAAATTAATAAAAATTAATAAAAATTAATAAAAATTAATAAAAATTAATAAAAATTAATAAAAATTAATAAAAATTAATAAAAATTAATAAAAATTAATAAAAATTAATAAAAATTAATAAAAATTAATAAAAATTAATAAAAATTAATAAAAATTAATAAAAATTAATAAAAATTAATAAAAATTAATAAAAATTAATAAAAATTAATAAAAATTAATAATAATAAAAATTAATAAAAATTAATAAAAATTAATAAAAATTAATAAAAATTAAATTAATAAAAATTAATAAAAATTAATAAAAATTAATAAAAATTAATAAAAATTAATAAAAATTAATAAAAATTAATAAAAATTAATAAAAATTAATAAAAATTAATAAAAATTAATAAAAATTAATAAAAATTAATAAAAATTAATAAAAATTAATAAAAATTAATAAAAATTAATAAAAATTAATAAAAATTAATAAAAATTAATAAAAATTAATAAAAATTAATAAAAATTAATAAAAATTAATAAAAATTAATAAAAATTAATAAAAATTAATAAAAATTAATAAAAATTAATAAAAATTAATAAAAAATTAATAAAAATTAATAAAAATTAATAAAAATTAATAAAAATTAATAAAAATTAATAAAAATTAATAAAAATTAATAAAAATTAATAAAAATTAATAAAAATTAATAAAAAATTAATAAAAATTAATAAAAATTAATAAAAATTAATAAAAATTAATAAAAATTAATAAAAATTAATTAAAATCAATAAAAATTAATAAAAATTAATAAAAATTAATAAAAATTAATAAAAATTAATAAAAATTAATAAAAATTAATAAAAATTATTAAAAATTAATAAAAATTAATAAAAATTAATAAAAATTAATAAAAATTAATAAAAATTAATAAAAATTAATAAAAATTAATAAAAATTAATAAAAATTATTAAAAATTAATAAAAATTAATAAAAATTAATAAAAATTAATAAAAATTAATAAAAATTAATAAAAATTAATAAAAATTAATAAAAATTATTAAAAATTAATAAAAATTAATAAAAATTAATAAAAATTAATAAAAATTAATAAAAATTAATAAAAATTAATAAAAATTAATAAAAATTAATAAAAATTAATAAAAATTAATAAAAATTAATAAAAAATTAATAAAAATTAATAAAAATTAATAAAAATTAATAAAAATTAATAAAAAATTAATAAAAATTAATAAAAATTAATAAAAATTAATAAAAATTAATAAAAATTAATAAAAATTAATAAAAATTAATAAAAATTAATAAAAATTAATAAAAATTAATAAAAATTAATAAAAATTAATAAAAATGAATAAAAATTAATAAAAATTAATAAAAATTAATAAAAATTAATAAAAATTAATAAAAATTAATAAAAATTAATAAAAATTAATAAAAATTAATAAAAATTAATAAAAATTAATAAAAATTAATAAAATTAATAAAAATTAATAAAAATTAATAAAAATTAATAAAAATTAATAAAAATTAATAAAAATTAATAAAAATTAATAAAAATTAATAACAATTAATAAAAATTAAATTATTAAAAATTATTAAAAATTAATAAATTTTTTTTCAAGAATCGCATGAAAAAATTTCTCACGAGTAACAAAATCTGTTATTCACTTTTATTAATTGAGATTTGAGAAATTCCCGCGAAACGGGAGCGGGTCAGATAGTATAATTATATATTATTTTTATAATTAATTCCTTCCAAATTAACGGAAATGCATACAATCTAATTATTATCAAACTTTGTTAAATAAAGCGGAAGTTTTTCTAAAATAACTCAAAAACTCAACATTTCTATATTATCTGGATGATTTCAATATGGTATAACCGGACGATGACAAATGATTCCGAAACCAATCAGCTGATAATTTGTCTCTCTTAATTTTAAATCCATTACGTTGAATATTTTGGCACATAAAATGTTATTTAATTTGATGTGACAACTCAGCAATCCTCGCATATTCCTGATATTTAACTACAGCTTATTATTTCCTTGTTCAACTTTTCAACTATATTGTTTGACTAGTGGATGGAAATAGCAGAGATTCTTAAAGAATGATTGTACAACAAGCACATCTCTTTTTGTACTTTGGAGTTTACTTAAGAGGATATTCCTTCTCTGAATGGCATCACGAATGGAAAGTGTTGTGAGTGTTGCTAAATGTTAGATTATTTGAGGTTTAGCCTTTATTTGGGCCATATTTGCAGCTTCAGAATGCTGTTCCTCTTTTTTTCCTAGTTATTTCTTTTTCTCACCTGTTCTATTTTTAAAACATGTTATGTAAATGATAATGGATAACACTCGTATATTTTTTTGGAGTTAAATACCAGGTAGATGATATGCATTCCACTACAGTGAATTAAGCCCTATTAGGTATATTTTTCACAACTCTATAAATCACGAAATAACGAAAACTTAATATTTCAATATGATAATTAAAAAATAAATAAATCTTAATAAAATAATTATTTTCTCAATTTTCAGGTAGATGAAATTTTAGTTACATTAAAATTAAGCGAAACTAAAAGAGTGAGAGCAGCTGGGCTTTCAGGGGGACAAAAGAAAAGGCTGTCAATTGCTTTAGAGTTAGTTAGTAATCCTATGGTGATGTTTTTAGATGAACCAACCACGTGAGTATAAATATAAATATAAATTTTATCGATCTGTAATGTAATTACATTTTAGTTTTAAAATTAGTGGGCTTTTGAATTTACTTTGACTTGCATAGTTAAAAGTTTTTATTTATATCAGCATTGTTTTATATATAAAATATAAATACAAAATATTATGTCAGATAATTTTAGATAGTTCAAAAATAGAGGTTAAAATACACAATACAAAATATTAAATAATTTGTATTATTTAAATATTATTTTTGGTTACAGTAATAAACATATTAAACAAATATTTTAAACAAAATATCGAAAAATCGAAAAATCGCAAAATCGAAAAATTGAAAAATCGAAAAATCGAAAAATTGAAAAAATCGAAAAATCGAAAAATCGAAAAATCGAAAAATCGAAAAATCGAAAAATCGAAAAATCGAAAAATCGAAAAATCGAAAAATCGAAAAATAGAAAAATCGAAAAATCGAAAAATCGAAAAATCGAAAAATCGAGAAATCGAAAAATCGAAAATCGAAAAATCGAAAAATCGAAAAATCGAAAAGTCGAAAAATCGAAAAATCGAAAAATCGAAAAATCGAAAAATCGAAAAATCGAAAAATCGAAAAATCGAAAAATCGAAAAATCGAAAAATCGAAAAATCGAAAAATCGAAAAATCGAAAAATCGAAAAATCGAAAAATCGAAAAATCGAAAATCAAAAAATCGAAAATCGAAAAATCGAAAAATCAAAAAATCGAAAAATCGAAAAATCGAAAAATCGAAAAATCGAAAAATCGAAAAATCGAAAAATCGAAAAATCGAAAAATCGAAAAATCGAAAAATCGAAAAATCGAAAAATCGAAAAATCGAAAAATCGAAAAATCGAAAAATCGAAAAATCGAAAAATCGAAAAATCGAAAAATCGAAAAATCGAAAAATCGAAAAATCGAAAAATCGAAAAATCGAAAAATCGAAAAATCGAAAAATCGAAAAATCGAAAAATCGAAAAATCGAAAAATCGAAAAATCGAAAAATCGAAAAATCGAAAAATCGAAAAATCGAAAAATCGAAAAATCGAAAAATCGAAAAATCGAAAAATCGAAAAATCGAAAAATCGAAAAATCGAAAAATCGAAAAATCGAAAAAATCGAAAAATCGAAAAATCGAAAAATCGAAAAATCGAAAAATCGAAAAATCGAAAAATCGAAAAATCGAAAAATCGAAAAATCGAAAAATCGAAAAATCGAAAAATCGAAAAATCGAAAAATCGAAAAATCGAAAAATCGAAAAATCGAAAAATCGAAAAATCGAAAAATCGAAAAATCGAAAAATCGAAAAATCGAAAAATCGAAAAATCGAAAAATCGAAAAATCGAAAAATCGAAAAATCGAAAAATCGAAAAATCGAAAAATCGAAAAATCGAAAAATCGAAAAATCGAAAAATCGAAAAATCGAAAAATCGAAAAATCGAAAAATCGAAAAATCGAAAAATCGAAAAATCGAAAAATCGAAAAATCGAAAAATCGAAAAATCGAAAAATCGAAAAATCGAAAAATCGAAAAATCGAAAAATCGAAAAATCGAAAAATCGAAAAATCGAAAAATCGAAAAATCGAAAAATCGAGAAATCGAAAAATCGAAAAATCGAAAAATCGAAAAATCGAAAAATCGAAAAATCGAAAAATCGAAAAATCGAAAAATCGAAAAATCGAAAAATCGAAAAATCGAAAAATCGAAAAATCGAAAAATCGAAAAATCGAAAAATCGAAAAATCGAAAAATCGAAAAATCGAAAAATCGAAAAATCGAAAAATCGAAAAATCGAAAAATCGAAAAATCGAAAAATCTAAAAATCGAAAAATCGAAAAATCGAAAAATCGAAAAATCGAAAAAACGAAAAAACGAAAAAACGAAAAAACGAAAAATAGAAAAATCGAAAAATCGAAAAATCGAAAAATCGAAAAATCGAAAAATCGAAAAATCGAAAAAACGAAAAATCGAAAAATGCTTGTTTGCTTGTTTGCTTGTTTGCTTGTTTGCTTGTTTGCTTGTTTGCTTGTTTGCTTGTTTGCTTGTTTGCTTGTTTGCTTGTTTGCTTGTTTGCTTGTTTGCTTGTTTGCTTGTTTGCTTGTTTGCTTGTTTGCTTGTTTGCTTGTTTGCTTGTTTGCTTGTTTGCTTGTTTGCTTGTTTGCTTGTTTGCTTGTTTGCTTGTTTGCTTGTTTGCTTGTTTGCTTGTTTGCTTGTTTGCTTGTTTGCTTGTTTGCTTGTTTGCTTGTTTGCTTGTTTGCTTGTTTGCTTGTTTGCTTGTTTGCTTGTTTGCTTGTTTGCTTGTTTGCTTGTTTGCTTGTTTGCTTGTTTGCTTGTTTGCTTGTTTGCTTGTT